AGAACTCCTTTGGCCAAGCAATTAGCAATGTTGAAAATCCCCTCCTAGTCTATCCTCGAGGATGCTGAGTGCCATCCTTCTGCCACCCCTCCAAAAGGGCAAAGGGCTGTGCTTCCACACAGGAAGGATGGTACATGGCTATTCAGGTGGGATGAGCTCCAGCTCACCTGCCTGGGGCTGTACCAGATGTGTGCCAGCTGTGGTCTCTGCAGTTGGCACTGCGAGTCCAAGCCAGCATTGTGGGGTGCAAATAAAAGGAGACACTCAGAAAGACACCGAGGGAGACGATGCTGTGAATTAGGGATTCAGTCCCTGGATTCCCACAGCAATAAGGGCTCTGAGCATTGGATATCTAGTGGGAGGTGTCCCTGCCCAGGGCAGCAGTTTGGACTAGATGATCTCTAGGGTCCATTCCAACCACTTAACAATCTATGATTCTGTGATTCTTTGATGGGGTTGAGCATGAGGGTCACAATGGCACAGAGCAGGACAAGGACCTCATCCATCCCGTGGGAGCTGCTGGAGTGAGGCACCAGGTACGCAATGGCCCCGGTGCTGAAGAACAGGGACACACCGGCCAGGAGGGAGGTGCAGGAGACGGAGGCTCTCTGTGTCCCTGCTCCCTCTGCAGGACAGCCCCGAAGATGTGAGCGTAAGTGGGAGAGAAGGAAAGAGCCTATCGCGGTGGTGCCAGGCGGAGCCGTGCTGAGGGCAGTGTGCTGCTGCAGGACGCTCTCAGCACGAAGAGCATCTCACCAGAACAAGTGGCTGCTCATGTCGAACCCGCAGAAGGACAAGCAGGCTGTGAGGCAAGCCTGGATCAGGGACGAGAAGGAGCTGCTCAGTCACCAAGCAGTGACACATCCCCTTGCTCATCAGTGCTGTGTAGTGCAGGGGGTGGCAGATGGCCAGGTGCCAGCCATGGGCCATGGCATCCAGCAGCACTCAGAGCCCCCAAAGCAGGGCAAGAAGTAGGTCTGAGTGATGCAGACCACGAAAGAAATAGTCTTCTGTGGTGAGAAGGCATCTCCAAGGATCTTAGGGAGGGTGACAGAGCAGCAGCAGACGTGCAGGAGGGAGCAGATGTCCAGCAGCAGATGTGCTGGGCCAGGAAGAAATACACGGGGGAGTGAAGGTGGGCATCCAGAAAGACAAGAGTGACAATAACCAGGGAAATGAGTGAGAAGCATAGGCAGAGGGTCACCTCTGCTCCTCTGACACTGGAAAGTCCCAAGAGAAGGAACATGATATACCTGCTGCGATTTCCCTGCTGCAGGGGTTTGGGGCTCACCTACAAGGAGAGCAGGAGCTAAGGACAGGTAGAAGGAAGGGGAGCGCTCCCCTCTGCCATGGGACATCACCAGCTCTCCACTCTGCTGCATGGGCAGCTGAAGCTGTGCCTCTGCCCAGGCACTGCTCATCTCAATCCAGAGTCTTGCTGGGGGGTACACCTATGGGGGCAGGTGACACATCTCAGCCCATGGGGTTTCAATCCTGAAGGCAACCCCCAAATTTGTGTCACCTGAAGGACACCAGAGGTGGAACCTCACCACCGTGATCAGTAAGGATGTGAGCAGACCCTCTCCCCCTTCTAGGTTTCCTGGCCTGAAACTGGAGAATGGATCCCACAAAACATGACAGGTCAGACCCTGTCTGAATAGCTGCTGTTCTTCATGGGAACAAATTGTGTTTACACCTCTAGTGAAGACACAGAAAGGTGTCCTGCTTGCCCTCTCCATCATAGATCATGGAAGTAGACCTCAAAAACCCAAGTAATCTTTAAATGTTACAGACAGAGAAGGTTTCTGCTGGTCAACACAACACAGGGGATGTCAACCTCATGCACACACTGAGAAAACAACACAGGGGAGGGATGTCTGAGAGTCTGAGAGATCAAAGGAGGACCAGAGCAGCATCCAGAGGTGACTGTGCTTCCATTGGGCTTGAGTGTGGCAAGGAAAAGCAGAGACACAAGCCTGCAGGAAAAGGGAAAAACTCTGGGTCTAAGGAGAAACTGGAACTCAGGGATAAGCAAAGATAAGATACAGAAGAGTTTGAGTGTGAACCTAAAACAACTGAATTCACAGGAAGAGCAGCCAGGAGATGATCAGAGATTCACATAAGCCTGCAAGAACCTGCTGGTGCTGACAGAGCTGTCACCAGATCCTTCCAGAGAGAAGGGTGGGAGCATCTGCCAGAATAGAAGATGAGGTAGGTGCCAGGCTGAGAGTATTGAGCAGCCTAAAAAGCCATTGCAAGTGCCCTCCAAGGGGGAACAAGGACGACTCTGCCATGCTGGGGATGTGCTCCACAACACAGAAGGTCAGGGTGGGCTGTGGATATGTCCTGGTGCCCAGCAGTCAGGGGATGTGTGTGAGCAGTAAGGGAGGAGGAGCAGCCAGCCCAAGGCTGGGGTGTCTGAACAGCTGGGAGCATCCATGGACACACTCCTCAAGGCAAGGAGGCACACCAGCAGGATGGGAGAAGCCTTCAGGGATGTGATGCCAGGCTTTGAACCAGGAAGGGAATGCAGGTTGAAGGAGAGGCACGTGACCTCTGAGCTGATTTGGGTTGTGATGGAGGAGTAGGAGCTGGTAAACAAGAGTGTAACCACAGAGGGAAGGACCTGAGGGATAAGAGCAGCTAGAGAGCAGTATGGGCTGGTGTCTCCTCTGGCTCATAGGAAATATCATGAACAGTGGTGGCCTTGTGCAAAACTGATGTGGAGAAACTCAAAGGACTACTTGGAGCTACCCATGGCAGCAGATGTACCCAGAGGTCAGAGAAAGAGCTGGTGTGACAGGGCAGAGATGAGGGGGTAGGAGTGGGATGTGAGGAGGTAGGGCAGTGCAGCACAAGACATTGAAAAACACCATCAAAAGATCTTCCTGGATCTAAACTGCCTTGGGAAGGAACTGCCTGGATTGTGTTGGGAGCCCACCACAGATCCCCCAGCCAGTTTAGGGCAAAAACAAAGCCCCAGGAGAGAAATCCTTCCAAGAAGAGTAACTCCTTGGAGGGGTGGAGGTGCCATAATCACAGCCTTGTCTGCAATGGTCATTCCAAACATCCTCAGATTTGAGGACAACACAAACCAGGTCACAGCATGAAGTGAGCTGATGGGGTGGTTTTTTGTACCAGTTCCTGAAAAATAGGTTGTTTATAGAAGAGCTATCTGGGAAAATAACTTCAGCTTGAGCAGGCATGAATCAATGCCATTTGGTGCAAATGGGAAGATCAATAGGAGCAGATTGGTGCCTGTGGCTGGGAACAAGCACAGATCAGGAAAAGTGAGGCACCCTGGTTCCTGCAGCTGGGCAGGTTTGGGAAGTCATACAGGCAAACAGAAAAGAGAAAGAAAAGGTGCAAAACCCAGCTAAAAACTCCCTTTTGAGCACAAGGGAGAGGCTGGTGCAGCACAGCTTCTCCCTTAGCAATGCACAGACACCAAGGAGGGTCACTGGAAAGAGT